ACCAATTTGCCACGTAATCGTATTTTCTGGACTATTTACCCTGTAAATTAATCATTTTTACCAATTCGCTTTGTGACAATATTTATGAGACTCATTAAACTGGTGACCATAAGACCAATATACCTTGTGAACATATTGCTGTGACCAATTAATCTTGTAATCATGTCAATTTTACTGTGATTGTTTTATATGATAATCATGTCATAGTGAACATATTATTGTGACTTTGTGACCACATTAGTGACTATTTACCTTTATATACATTTGATTTGTGACCAAATTTGTAGTACCTATTTACTTTGTGACATATTTACCGTCTGACGATATTGTATGGCCTATTTACCTCGTGACCAATTTAACTTCGACCTTAATTTGTGGTCGATTAACCTTTGTGACCATACTATTTTCACTATTTAATTTACAATACGGATTTGACCCAATAGTAACCACAGTATCGTGACAAATTTACCCTGTGAAGCACTTGGCTATCAATTACCGAGATTAATTTACCTGGTGACCATATAACTGTGACCAATTTTCCTTGTGAACCATTTTTTTGGCAATCAATTGATGAGAGTAATTTACCTGGTGAATATATAACTGTGACCAATTTACCTTGTGAACTATTGACTATCAATTACTGAGATTAATTTACCTGGTGACCATATAACTGTGACCAATTTACCTTGTGAACTATTGACTATCAATTACCGAGATTAATTTACCTGGTGAATATATAACTGTGACCAATTTACCTTGTGAACTATTGACTATCATTTACTGAGATTAATTTACCTGCTGACCATATAACTGTGACCAATTTACCTTGTGAACTATTGACTATCAATTAATGAGATTAATTTACCTGGTGAACATATAACTGTGACAAATTTACCCTGTGAACCATTGCCTATCAATTACTGAGATTAATTTACCTGGTGACAAATTTACCTTGTGAACCATTGGCTATCATATTACTGAGATTTATTTACCTGGTGAACTGACCAGTTTACCTTGTGAACCATCTTCTATCAAATTACTGTACCTGGTGACCATATAACTGTGACCAATTTACCTTGTGAACCATTGGTTATCAAATTACTGAGATTAATTTACCCGAGGAACATATAACTGACTAATTTACCTTGTGAACCATTGGCTTTTAAATTACTGTAGATTTATTTACCTGGTGAACATATAACTGTGACCAATTTGTCTTGTGAACCATTGGCTATCATATTACTGAGATTAATTTACCTGGTGAACATATAACTGACCAGTTTACCTTGTGAACCATCTTCTATCAAATTACTGAGATTAATTGACCTGGTGACCATATAACTGTGACCAATTTGTCTTGTAAACCATTGGCTATCAAATTACCGAAATTGATTTACCTCCTGACCATATAACTGTGATCAATTTTGCTGGTGAACCATCGGCTATTAATTATTGAGTTTAATTTACCTGGTGACCATATAAATGTGACCAATTTACATTGTGAACCATCTGCTATCAATTGTTGAGATTAATTTACCTGGTGAACATTTAAATGGGAAGTGACCTATTTGCCACCAGACTACTGTGAACAATTTACCTGATGATCATGACTGATCAATTTACCTTGTGACCTATTTGCCATCACACTTCTGCGAACAACCTGGTGACCATATGACTGATACCATTCTAACTTTTCGACCTGAGAAAATTTAATTTGTGACCACATTAGTCTGAGTCTGTAGCCATTTTTTTTCTCGTGACCTTAAATTACGGTGTTACATATTTATCTTGTTACCTATTGACTTTTTACAATTGTAACCCATTACAGAAATACGCTGTGACCAATTAACTTTCTTACCAAACTGATCGCCACTTAACTTTATTGACTTTCACTGTTACCTATTAAGGAGCAAATTCCTGTCACAAGTTAGCGCGACCAACTGACTGTGTGAACAAAATACTACTGTGTCAATTTGCCTTATGATTATTTAACAGTTATCACATTCCGTGAACAATTTTGAAAAATTCATCCTAGTTATAATTGACTTATTTTAGAAATATTCAAACAGAACCAATATGTCCAATATTTATTATCATTTATGAAATTATACATAACACCTTCCCCTTGTAATTCACAAACAACTGTACAAAAATTTTACTGATGATTGGCCTTTTTAAATATATATATATAAAGGTGGTTATTCAGTATATCAGAATTCTTTTTTTTTTTGTCTTTAATTGGTTCAGCAATTTAAATTTGAACTTTCAAGATCACAGGAAATACCTCCATGTGAAAGAAAGAAAAATAGGAAAAAACGAATAAATGCGAAAAAGGATTCAGTAAATTATATTATCTATATATTACAGTGTAAGGAGAATGTAGAATGGCTAACCTAGGGGTTCTATTTCCGGGTAGCCATTTGTAATGGTACAATTCTTAATCCATACGCATCTGGGAATCTGGGGTGTTTTCCTCGGTGCGAAAGATTTTTTGGAGGTTTTTACACTTTTCTTGGAATCTTCATTAATGACAACAATTTCCTCTGAAACATTCTTTGATTCTTTTATATTATCCCCAGATATTTTTCTTTCTTTTTCTGATTTGTTGTCTCAACTTTCGTTTCTGTTCCGAAAGCAATTTTTACGGCCAAAATCTTATAACTATGATAGAATTTCGGGCAATTTAAGATATTTCGATTTGTCTACTAATTAAGGAGTTCTATACAGATAGAAAGTAGACCAATCGAACAAGTCACATCTACACTCTATTGTTTTAAATCTCAACTTGGATGTGAGCTGAAATCATGGGTTAAGAAATAAAAGCTTCTACATGTGACTAAGGTGTTCATTGTTGAACGGAGATGTTAGAAAAATAGTCATTAAAGGTAGGTGGGTGTTTGAGTAGGTTGGTTGGGTTCGTGTACAAATATTCCCGGTGTGTGCTGGAACGGGGGAGGCGATTAGAAAGCGCACAGTTCTGCAAATCTATGTCCCTGTTCCTTTGGAAAACTGTTTATGGACGTGCTTTCTCGCTCTCTGAGTCTCCGATATGACCGGTGGACGTATAATATGATGTGTGTGTGTGTTGGTACAAGGTTTAGTTGCGCCATTGCTCCGGCTAGAGTCATCGACCAGTGAAGTGGATTAGCTGGTACCCTTGTATTGCCCGATACGGCTTGTGAGCGGGTGATTCACTCCCTCGTATCCAGCTCAGGTGTTGCTGGTTTTGAGTGGGTCATGGAGGTGGCAAATTTGGTGGGCATAACACTGAAAGACGACCAGGATCCCGAGGCAGGTCGCGGAATGCTACCGAAAGCCGAACTGAACTGGAGGTTTGGGTTTCCTGGTGGTGTTAGGTGTGCTGTTAGGCTTGAGTAGGTGTTAGAATCTGTTATTAGACATGGTTTAGCTAATAATCAATGTTAGGTAGGGCATCATCTCATACTGATATTAGCTCTATTGTAGCTACCCCTTGAACCCACATTCGTTTCTCTTTCGTCAAAGTTAGGCTTGTTTTAGGTTCGGTTAGGTTGCTCCAGATTTTGTGTTAGGTTTAACAAAATTCTATAGGTTGCTGGCCGGCGAATTATTTCCATCGATTTCCTTGTAGGAACTATCTAGGCCATTAGGTCTAAGTTAAGGGCGTTAGAGATACGAGTGTGGGATTATGTGAGGCTCTAAATCAAACTATTCCATGTAGTTTAAAGAGATATTGACGGACTTGCTTCGAGACTGGAGTTAGGGAATTGTTTTGAAAGTGCATGATAGTGTGTGTTTGTATGTATGTATATATTTATGTGTTGAGGTCAAAGACATTGGTATGGAGCTGGCATGCTGTGTTTTTGCTCTCTACTATGCATAGAACGCCTTTTACCCTTTTTCCTTTTCAGCCAGTTCCTGAAATCCCTGTTTCACTCATATATAGACTTCGCGAATTTACTAAAATCTTTATGGATTTCATGAAATCACTCAATATTATCTGGCAATAACTTGATGAAAACCCTGTTACGAATTATAAGACAAACTATAATGATACAATATATTCCGCTTCTTAGTGGCGGAGCCAGGTTTACGTCCGAGGAGGGGCGAAATATCTGAGATTGCCCGAATTTCTTACCTAGTTATGAGATTTTTGCCAGAAAAACTCGCTTTCGGGGCTGCTGCTTCTGCCAGTAAACGCTGAGGACAAAGTCGAACTGATTCCTAGAATATATGCCACATAATCATTGAGATCCACTGTGCTGTCATCCTATCTGCCTGTGATATCTCTACTGTATAAGCCTCAGCCCTATTTTCCCATTCTGGGGTGAGAAATCGTTGAGAATTGATGAGGTCAAAGTCGAAGGTTGTTGGTGATGTAACAGTACTTCTAGTGGATCTGAAATTTTGATGTGAAACACTGATGGGGAGTAGTTCAAATGGATCAGTGGAATTTTGATACGTAGGACTCAATGTTGTCTCTCGGTGTTAGCTGTGAGATCTTTAGCTACTGATGGTATGTTACCAAGAAATGCTCTCAGATCCTCCTCAGTTTCAATGATGTAAATGCATTCTTATTGTTGTGAGGAGGAAGTTAGTTCAATACGAACACCACACCCGAATATTTCTGAATAAGGCTAACATCCACAGATCCACCACATTCAATGCAAATGCAGGCATTGAGGATATGCTGGTGACCTTCAAAAATTTCAAAAATAAATTATGTTCGCCTTATTCAGCAATTTTTGGGTGTGAGGCTGATGAATATTAATACAAAAGGTTGCAAGATTAATATGATCTATTTTAGTCGCTGATTTAACAAGGAATCTATAATAGCTCTTTCATTCAGGTTTCAGTTCCTCTGATTCCCCAAGCATTTCCTAGTCCTCACACAATCTTCAAACTCAAGTGTAGTTGAATTATTCATTAGAAACATCATCAATCAAATAATAAGAATAATTTGATCAAGAACAATGAGATAATACAAATACAAATATTGTCTTCGAATACTGTAGGCTATTGTATATGAATTTATTATAATATTGTATTTTACAAGTATATTATGTAGAATAGAATGTTCAAAATAAAAATATATAGCATGAAGGCTAATCACCAGAAGAAAATTATTAACAACTGGGGTATATATATGGATATAGATGTAAGATAGTGGCAAAGTCAGATGTTAATTGAAGAAATAATCGCTTTTAACACATTGTAATAGACATCACAGTATATTCTATAACAGGAGGTGACCAATGTATCATCATACGATGTTTGTTATGGAAAGACAAATAGCATAGTCCTGAAATTCAGGAATCCCCGTCCACCGTTTTCTGTGATGTTAATTTTTTGTGTGGTTTGTGCTGTGCGACGTAATATTGTAGAAAGGCTCTAGTGGAGTTGTATCCTCTCTGAAATAAAAACAAATTTACAATCAATGAAAGGCATAAATCGATCCATCAGATCAGCACAGCAAATGTTAGATTTCCTGGTAATAGCTAGTTAGCTAACCCAGTACGACATTTCAAAGGAGGATTAGGTACCAAGACATGATAGTCTACGTACCTCTATTAGGAATTGTTTATCCGCTTCAGTTAAATCTTTATCATCTCCATCAATATAGCCCGAATTAATACCAACAGTTCTCTCAACATCGCTTTCCTATAGGAACAGAATGATGATGATGGAAATAGCTTGATAATAATCCACCTTACATTTTCTGCATTTATGAAAAGATTACAAAAAATAAGGTTTCGGCACCTTACTGACTTGGCAAAACTCTTTCAAGGCGCTGCGAAACATTTTGCTAACTGAATGCAGAGTGGGATTTCGAATTTCATGTTCATTTATGCACCTAGAGAAATTCACACGAGACAGAATTTCCCAAATTCCTAAAAAAGTATTAAAGGGATATACAGTATTATATAATGACAATGAAGCAAACCATTATCTGTTGTTTTGAGACTGAATTTCTGACAGTAGCTTCCAATGCCAACATAAATGTGGAGAAGTTATGAACATGTTTTTGTAGTGTAATGTTGTGTTCATCTCTTATATTTTCCATCTTTTCATGAACTTTACTTATCAGCTCTTGTCTTGAAACCTTGAAAACCAAAATATATTTAGACAAATGCCCAAAATCATTAATTTTCGCCATTTCAGAAATCATATTCTAAATTCCTTTCCTTAGTGTGACTCCATAAACGAATTGAAATAATTGACATTTGATGCACATAAAAGACCAACTGAAACATAGAAAGTTTCCCGAATCCTGTTACACGCTATAAACCAGTGGTTCCCAACCTATTTCACCCCTGGAGCAATCACGTGGACCTTTCACACCCCAAAAATTTGTTTCATCCACATTTGCCACATGTGATATAGGGTGTTCTTTCAACATAAATTCTTCTCCAACACCAGTTGGTCACACCCCTGACACCATAGTCTCACATTGGGAACCAGGGTTATAAACACTTACCAGACCTTTCCTTTCATGATCAAGATTTTCAAAAATCGTTTTGATATCAGATTTTTCGCCAAAAAGTGTGTCGACATCCTCTTGTGGAAATACATTTGTCTAAAATTAAAGGACATATATTATTAACCACAGTAGTAACGGAAGTTTTAGATCTTCTGGAACCTTCTGATTCTCTTAAGGTATATAACAGGGTAGAATATGAAAAGAAATCATTTGACTTCACTTCCTTGAATTATAAGAGTTAATGTTCAAACCCTTCATGGCTACATTACATCAAATGATAAATGTATACAGTAGATCGAAATCAATTGGTTGCCATTTCATCTGAAAGAACTTAATGCTTTTAGAACACTTTCTGCGTTTTTCAAAGAGACATCGTTATAGTTTAACCCGGTCTAATATTAAAGGAAATCTTACACTGAATGTGTCTTTCAAATCTTTCTTATCTAGAATATCCATCGGTAATTTTTCTAATATCTGAAAAGGATTTAAATATGGCAGAAAGCCGCAAATACGGTGTACGGTTCAAAATCATCGATACAAACGAAAATAGAAGAAGTGAACACCCGGGGTAGGGTTCCGGACACGGTGCGGACACGATTCGTTTCTTCTATTTTCTACTGTATACACCACACCGCACCGGACACCATTTCTCGTCTATTCGCACCTATAAACATGTTGATGTCCATAAAGAGAAACACCTTGGCAGTATTTCGTGGGCTCTGAATATTTGCTTTTTACATATTTTCATTATCATGAACTTGGAAAAACTACTCCTATCTTCCTACCATGTACTTTGCAATTCACGTGTTTATATAATTCCCCTACCACCCCACCAATCCCCCCGCCAAAAAAAAAAAAAATAACAACAACATGTAAACCTAAATGTTACACAATATCTATAATTTCACTGAATAGTTTTATTACCTTTATAAAGTTTTCTGCGACAGTCTTTGTTTTAAAGAAATCTTTTTCCAAATCCCCACTCTTCTGTATCATTGCATAGTTTCGCCTGTTAATTATTGAGGGCAATTAATTAAAGTAAACCTATGCATCCAATAAAATTTGTTTTTCTTTCAATATGGTTATATATAAATAGCTCAAACGACATTATATCGAACAAGATTTCATATTTCTTTTTTATGAATTAAAATTCACTTGTAAAGAATTACGAACTATGAAGGTTTTCTAGCAGGACTGTTACTAATGTGAGTAAAAGTGATTGTGGTACCAATGATGTCAGTCTTTCTGAAGATCAGACTTTAGGTAGGTAACACCAACGCTTACAACAAATAAAGAAAAAAATAGAAATTCAGATAATTAGGCCATGTTTTATTTGTTTTAATCATGATTTAATTCCTCTTATTTTTCATTTTTGTTTGCTAAATCATGATTTAATTCCTCTTATTTTTCATTTTTGTTTGCTAAATCATGATTTAATTCCTCTTATTTTTCATTTTTGTTTGCTAAATTATGATTTAATTCTCCTTATTTTTCATTTTTGTTTGCTGAATGATCATTTTTGTTTACCTCTTTTTATATTCAGTAGAATTGAATTATAATTCAGCAAAAAAAAAAAAAAAAATAGTAAACAAAAAAGGTAACTCAGCGAACGAAAATGAAATATAAGGAGAATTAAACAGCGAACGAAAATGAAATATAAGGAGAATTAAATCATAATTTAGCAAACAAAAATAAAAAAAATAGAAAACAAAAAAGATAATTCAGCAGAAAAAAAAAATAAGTGGAATGTGACTGTGAATGTTTAATGAGATTGTACATACTTGAATAACGTAGTTCCTGTACATGGTTTTGGTGGAATTAGCACCCCAAGCCTTGACTCTAGTTTGGTTTTCATACAATTATCTTCTGCATCAGTATACTGTAAAATATCATTTCATCAAGGCATGATTCCTTATACATGCTTGCTCTCTAACACGGTAAACATCTGGTCGAGAGAATACCTATAAAGGTTTTGAACCCTTTGACAGAAATGTCAATTTAAGGACCTGGTCTAATCGTCCGGAACTACAGATTGTGTCTGTCAAAGATCCTTTGGAGGTTTGCAATCGAAAATGAGTGGACTGATGTCCCAACAAAATCCACTGTTACACACTACATGTATATGACAATAAGATTTTTGAACGATATTTTTTTGTTTTTTGTTTTGTTTTTATTTTTTGTTATAACTGTATGACAATGTCTTCAATAATAAGTAAACATAGAAAATCAGTATAAAAATGGTGATATCACTATACAAAGTCGCAGTTTATATGGGCTCAGGACTGAAACAATTCCTGTAAGCGACAAGTAAAAGTATAAGGCATTGCATGAACAACCCGTATGGCAACTGCGATTTTTTAGTTGTTGCTGCACTTAGGTTACATATTCATCTTTATCACACAACAACACTGTTCCAAATAACATTATTTTGATTAAGTTTTCGATTTAGTAATAACATGATTGTTTTTACCAAAATATTCTTTGTAACGCACAAGGCTATTTTTCTAGAAAGGTGTAATAAGGCTGACCTCAAAATGGAGGCATATAAAGACAAAAAGATTTATAGTTGTGGGATAAATAAAATCTTAAAAAAACGCTTTATGAGACTCGTAAATATTTCCTTTGCAAAGCTTGAATGTTCGGGAAATATTAAATCTGGCAACTCATAAATTTTATATAACATAAGCACTCGTTTAAGATCCTCTTTATGTCACCACTTTCTATAGTTTTCTCACATCCTACCAGATCGCAAGCATTGAACATCCAGTTTTTCTTAGTCGCCAGATCGACCTCTCCTAGGACACACTTATACTGTGTGTTTCGGTATGCATGTATAGTCATGGAAAATAATTCCAGAATGGACCTCAATCATCTATATGCCATTGTATTAGAAAACATTCCAGAACATTCAAAACTGAAATTATGTTATAGTAGATCTTTTAAAATCAAAAACACATGGTCTTACCAATAAAACTCCCAATGTTCTATCACATGCTTTATCATTTGTAGTTTCATTTTGACCAATCAGTGTTGGCAATCTTGAATTATTTTCTTGATTTAAACAAAGGTATGAGCCTGAAAATAAATTGTAATCTCATCTTAATTACGGTGGATTGACCTGTGTTTTTTCGGTTGAAGATCTTATGACTGTCCATTTTTAATTAATGTCTCTTCGTCAGATAATTGAAGTTTTGCAATTGACAAGTAAAATGGTATTCTTACCATCAAAGCTTCTTATTGGATAGTTATTAAGAAGTCCACCATCAATATAAATACATTCTTGTCTTTCTTTATTTACAATTCTTGGTGTATATATACCTATACAGAAGAAAACACCCCAACAGATTTCACACCTATGAATTCATTAGCAAAACTGCTATATCCTAACTGCAATAGCAACTTGTCTTGTATCATATCTTATTCTTATTCGCGACCTTTTTTAAATCACATGTGGTATTAAAGACGATGTTCAGTTCAGCACTCAAAGTTCAAAAGTGTTGGTGGTCAGGCTGAAATCTTGCATTTGATTTAATTTGGAAGTGTATTCTTTCCATATCGTTACATTTTACAACGAAATAATGCATATAACCACAAACAATTGTATTATTTGAGTGGAAGGAAAGGGGTGTCTTTATAAAGAAATGAGACATAGATATCTAGTAAACCAAATTAAGTAGATTGTAGCTCTTGTATATAGTCATTCATTTTTATGCACGCATAGCATTGCTTTTTTATTAGGTACTGAAAGAGCTGAAGAAACAGTGTTTTATAATTATAATCCAGTTTTTTTAATTCAAAATTTAACGTAACATGACGCAACACCATGAGCCCAATCATGTGCAGGAAAGTATAGCACATAACTTTCGTGCACTAGAAATGAAATAAAATGCACCTGCACCAAAACGGGATATAAATCATTTGATCAATTAGATTTAAACATATTGAATAAAAAATAGCACAAAATCAATAGACAAAATAAAAAGATGAAAAACATAGATAAAGCAATATGACGGAATGAACACCATAAAGTGGTGGTAATAATAAAATAAATAAATAAATGAAAATTTCTCTTAATGATTAAAACATTTTTATAGCTCTATGAAATGCTTCATTAACCATGTTTAACAGTACAGAAATAATTCTCCTATATAATGTTAGGTATTAATATATCAGGTGATATATGTACACAAGTATTGGGTTTGCCGTGATGATTGAAAAACACAATAAATAGAAATAGAAAAAGAATAGACCGTATTTACCTGGTATTGTTAAAGCCATTTGCACTGCAGCTCTGACAGGAATATCTGGAGTTGTTTTAATATGGAAATAATCTATCTTCATTTGGTTTAAATTGGTCACAATAACACATAATTCTTTACCATAATTTATATACAGCTAGAACAGAAAGATATAAAAAGTAGAGTTAAATTCATGAAATCGCGAATATACAACCACCAATTTTAATACATGTACATATATCTATGTAACTCCAAGGCCCAGAAGCATATTATAGTGGTATTTCATTTAAGGTAACCCATTATTGTGCATGTGCTAGTATCTTGTGTTTCTTTTTAGAAAGCTCTCTGATTCATGTTTTATTTCCTACTCAGTATGTTTTGAAGTAACCTGTTTAAATGTTATATCTGCATCACCAATTTTATCGTTCAACAATTTGCCAAGTCTATTATATATATCTTCACCAATAGACGATATTCCATACCCTCTAATAACATCGGGTAACAGGTTACAAAAAGCACCTCCTACAATTCAATAAACAAAAGTTGTCTTTTAGTAAAATTAATTGAGGTAAGAAAATTATCCTCTACCAACATACATATGAAGTAAAAATTTTCGATCAAATTATATCGATATTCTGAAAGCATTCATAGTATGCACCTTAGTACATAATGCGCGTCCTACCTATTGGGCCAAAGGCCGATGTGTTTACATGTAGATATAGACTTCCTTTAAACCCTGTGAATCTTCTGTGATTGGGCACAGTCTTATTAGAAAGACGTCATTGAGAATGTATATGAAGTCCCTTTTTTTATCCCCTATAACACCCGATCCTGTTCGTTTTCCCTGCTAGTGTCGTATAAGTAGCAAAGATAAGGGCCAAAAGACGTCTTTCAAGTTTCTGAGACTAAGTACGATTGAGAGCTGTCCCTTTAAACTACAAGATTTGGATTTGCTACAGTCCGAAACATCTGCCTCTATTTCAACCTCTAATGGATATTTTGACAGTTGTCAGCAGCTGGACAGAGTCAGAAGAAAAAGACCCTGTTAAATGGGAATTTTCCACACCTCCAAATTTTCAAAGATACGTTTTCTCTAACATAATATTGAATTACCTTTAAGAAAAATGTAAATTAGTGTTGGGCCTCACCGTAACTTTCGTATTGTTAGTATCACTTGACTCTGTGACGTTTGAATTTTTGGCTGCGCAACGCAGTTTCGCCAAAAAAAACTTTGATGGAACCATAGACATGACATAAATGATGTAGGGAGAAAATGATGGTATGACTGAACTACAAAAATATTCATCTTTCCAAATACACTATATACCTGGGTTTTGCAGATTCGAGGTATCTAAATGGGTTTAAAACGTGGAATGTCCCCTTTTAAACAGGGCTTATTATTTCCGTCTTTACATCAGCTGACATCCTGTCCAAATAGCTATCAGAGGCTGGAATAGTGACAGATGTTTCGGTCTAGATTAGCTGTTGCTTTTCCTACTGGCGTTTCAACTGCTACTAGATTTGATATACGTCATGTCCTCTGAAAGACAGGACCTATGGTAATGTGTTTCCGCCGTAGGTTTGGTATTATCTGGCCTTTGACCAGCTACTATATAGCTGTGATATATTACCCTTGAAAGACCCCATTAGGCCTTTGTATTGCCACCAGCGTTTTAGAATCTGTGGTTAAAATACGCTACTGGCAGGGAAAACAAACAGGATCGGGTGCCTATAACCCTTACGAACCTTTGACAAGAGAGGCAATATCATTACTTAGAATAGTAGATATTTCTTGCCAATTAAAACCAACACAACACAACAATCCAACTAAGGCTCCATAATTTGTTCCTGATATTCTTTTGATAGAATCTAAACATCCTGCGACTTGTAAATACTGCAAAAAATATCAAAATATTGAAAATAAATAGTAATTATTACGGAAGCTCAAATACGACATAATTCTGAGCATTGGTTTTTTATGGAGCCTACTTTTTTCACTCTTTTAGGCTAATGAGGCAAGGCCATGGCCATACAGTGTGCAATAAGAGAAATTTTGCCAGGATAGCAGCATTAATTGTGGGACTTTGCTTCCGCAAAGTCCCAGTTTGGTATCGAAATGTTTCCATTTTTTTTTTTTTCGTTTTTTACACAGGGCACACAGCCTAAACTGCAACAGCTGTAGCAACAGTTTTACAACCCTATATGTTACTTTTTTTCTAGGTACTTAATGAATATAAATTGAAACATTTTTGCAGAACCGGAAGAGGTGCACTTGCAAAATGTGCAAAAACTGGTTTTGGGGGCCTGGAAGGTGCAATTTTTGATTGATTTTGCTCGGATTTTCATTTTTAGAATCTGTAGCGAAATCCCAATAACGTATGAGTTAAAAAAATTTGATTTTCAAATATTCGTTGCACACTTTTTGCATCTAAAT